ACTTACTTACTTACTACTTACTTATTACTACTTACTTATACTTACTACTTACTACTTACCTACCTCCTACCTACCTACCTACCTACCTACCTACCTACCTCCCTCCTCCTCCTCCTCCTCCTCTCTCTCTCTCTCTCTCTCTCTCTCTCTCTCTCTCTCTCTCTCTCTCTCTCTCTCTCCAGGAACTCCAAAGATAGGTTGGGCCTAAATTCTGGCATATTCTTCTTTTACTAGAACATGAAGAATTTCGAAGATGTAAGGGGTTTGACCCTACAAATTACGGTTTTCTTTCTTTCTTATCTTTAGGTTGAACTTGGATTGTGTAGGAAAGGTCATCGTTGGAGAATCCTGTCTAGACCTACTATGTAAAGCAAATGGCTGCTGCAGTACATACACCTTACAACTTCGATGGTAATTGCCATTGTGATTATGGCTGATAGATTGTGGCTGATGACAAAGAACTGCTGAGTTGCATTAATGCTATCAACAGGCACAATCATGGGATCACAAGTCAAGAGGGTGGTTTGAGAGATATTTTAAGAATCATGCTGGCAACTAGGACAAAGATAATAAGGAAAGAGAACCAACCAAAAATAAGATAGATTCTCGAAAAAGAAAGAATTTAAAGATATGGAAAAACCAAGTCTTGAAGTCATGAGAATTCAGAATTGATAATCTACGAATATCGACAGATTCAATGCACCTAATACTCTTTAAAGCATAAGAAACAAGACACTGCCTCCTTAAATAACATGAATATTATATTTACCTCAGAGGGTTTCTCTATGAACTCAAGAGATTCGCTTTTGGCCTGAAATAATTTTAGTTATTCAGTCAGCAGTCAATTTCCAACAGAAAATTCCACATTTCATAGACCCTTAAAAAGAACAACCATCGCAATCTAGTGGAAGGCATCCCAATATAACTATGAAGTACATTAGTGTATTGAAGTAACTCATAGAAGGTCAATGGAATGAAGCTTACATTGTCGAATAGTGAAGAAGAATAATTCCCATCGTCTAGCTGAGAAGCCCTAGGAGACGAACCCTCATCTGATCCTTCAGGAACTGGGGAGGGTGGTTGAGGTGGAGGAATGTATATCACTTTCATTTTGCACTCTTCAACCACTTTTCCAGCTTCTTTATTAAACTGCACAGTAACATGATGTTATGTCAGCAGACTCAGTGCCAAAAGTAAGCCAACGAAAACAATTAAATTATACAATATTTGGACTCATAGAGCACCAACCATCTCTGGGGTGATGTCCGCTGTAGTTGCACCATCATTTGCAATGACACTTTGAAGTAAAAACTTATCTTTGCATTGCATGTCATGTGGGAGTTCACGTTGAGCTTGCATCGTAACTAACCATTCATCAATAAAAAAAAAAGGATTATCAATATTATTTATCCATCGCTGTGAACATTATGTCCAATTACAGAGTGCAAAATCAAATGACTGTAGGAAATAGCCCTGACCTGTAACATCACACGTAGACTTCGGCAAGACAATCCCAGTATTGGGCCGGACACAATATTTCTTTGGGTTTGTCGTTTTAACCTATAAAAATCATAAAGATAACCGTGAACATATTAAGATAAGGGTATAGTTTGTATAGAGCCTAGGCCCTAAACAATCAGATTAGAGCCTACCTTCAAATAGTGTTGAGAAATGTGGCTTCAATATATTCTAATATTTATTTATAAAGTTTAAAGTTTCAAAAATAGTGTAGATCGACAAATCTATCAAAACTTGAAAATCTTGAAAATTGACGGTCCAAAAATACATTACAAAATACACTATTTCCAAAACTTGAAATCCATTTTTTTCGCATGTCCATGCATCTTGATGTCGAGATGATCAATTTGAACATATTTGGGCATCAAAACAACCGCTTCTAGTAAAATTTTTGAGGTAGGCTCAAATTTGATTGTTTAGAGCCTCGGCTTTATATAAAATTTTCCCTTAAGATAATAACCTCTCTTTTTTCTTGGATCAAGGAACAAAAGCTTTTATTTCTGACATCTGATTAATCATTCATTATCCGATACAATAAAGGACAGCCACTCTTTTTTTCAGAGATAAGAACTATAGATACCATGTCAGAATAAAATGGAATTATAACAAAAAGCTAAAGGAAAGAATGTGAGCATCATATATAACACATAGAAGAGTATACCTTGAAAGCTACATAACGATCAGTCTTGTTAGTCAATTGCAAAGTACATGACGTTTGCTTCTTCAATTCCACTGCTCATGGGTAATAAGAAACATCATAGTTATCACAACACAGTAATAACAAACACAAAAGTAATATTCCAAAACAAAAAACAAAAAACAAAAAAAAAGGAAATACAAAGTGAAAAGCTCACAAAGAAACAACAGCTTTTGTGGCAAACAACATAATCATTGTCATTAGTAGTAGCTAAATTTACATGAATGGAGCCACAGATACCACTATATCACGGCCATAAAAAGAATGCACCCCAAAGAGATTGTAAGTATGAGGACACAGCCAGTAATACAAATGAGAGAGAAAGAGACACCCAAAAGGCTCAAATGTCACATTGAGAGACTCCTTAGTCTCCATAACTTATTTCATAAACTTCCTATACATCAAATTTAACCAAAATTTAAATAGATTAGAGTCAAAATGGTTGGAATGGGTTGACATACTCCAGTTTAAAAATAGGTAGACAACAAAGAAAAACTAAGTGCCAAATTGGGAAATTGTGGGAATCCATGGTTTCACAAACATATTGCAAAAGATTCTAAACAAGTGGAATTATAGGAAACAATGGGGCAGCCAAAAATGAAGCCAAGAACGTATTGGTAAGTGCATTTTTCCACAGTGATCGAAAACTCGGCCAAGTCCACTCGGACTTGGCTCCTTGCCGAGCCAGTACTTGGCTAAAACTCAGGTTCATTAAAAACATAAAAAAATCATAAAAATATATTAAATTGTGAAATCAAATTATAAATGTTTTATATGTAAGTTTCAAAAAATATAGAGTAAGTTGGACTTTTTTTGTCATGATTTGTGAGTTTTCTTTGCCGCATGCCCTATTTTTTGTATTTTACTTCTTTTTTGAATTTTTTGAATGTCTTAAGCTACAAATCAAGTTTTTTCTAATTCATACTCTACATTTATTTTTGTTGGACTTTTTGTCTACTTTAGTTTAGTACGGTTATTACCATTTTAATTTTATTTTTTAAAAAACTTTTTATGTATTAGGGTTTTTTTGGCCCTGTACACTATTAGGGTTTTTTTTGGCCCTGTACACTAGTCCGAGTCCCGAGCCTGAGCGGAGTTTGTAACCATGCTGCCACATAAGCAACCAAAGAGGAAAACAAATGCTCTGATGGGAAATCTAATGCATCTAAACTATCGAATCGACAGTAAATAAAAAATTTCCAGGGAAAAATTGGAATCAAGACATTAACCACAAACTCCCCATTAATAATAAAAATAAAAATAAAATAAAAGAGAGAGAGGCAAACAAACAAAAGCTCAGAACTTGGAATTCAAATTTGAGATTTTGGGGTTTCATCTTCCACCACACAGAAAAGAAACAGAAAATGAAACCCCAAATCAAGGATCAAGGCAACTATAATTTACATCGTCGAATAATGACTTGTCGAATTACATGGAGGTTATCTCACATCAGTGATCATCCAGACAAAGAAATATACAGTTGAGAAGATCTGAGATGAAAAGCCTTACATTGGAAATTGAGTTCGGAGGGTTGAACGCTTAGAAACTCCCAGCTGCTCATGCTTCGACTTCCCAGTCAAGAGAGAGATAACCCCAATCAATTACTTCTCAAAATTTTTTGTAAATACGGACTGTGGAATTCGATGGCCTGAACAAAATAAGCGAAGCAAAAGGATGGTGGATTCACAAGGATTTGAGAAATAACAGCGTGGCTTTATCAAACGGTTACTTTCTTTTCATTTTCAAACGTGTCTTTTGTCCTCTTGTTTTTTTTAACAGGAGGTGAGGTTCAGTTTGGCTGGAATTTTTGAGATTCTGACAAGGTGATAAGTAAAAACCAAGGAAATTATGGTGAATATCAATTTTCAGGGATATCTATTTTAAAAAAGAATTTAATCATAAATATCGTTTTAGATGTGGTGGACCTGGTTTCTATATGGCGAATCCCGCATATGAAGAAATGCGAGCCTCTTAATAATTTATTTTTGAGATGGATTTTAAGATTTAATTTTTAAAGATATGTATTATGAAAAAATAAATAAATTTTAAAAGAGAAATGATTGTGTGAGACCCCCCTCCGCACCCATGTTTGTAGGACCCAAAATGATCACCATTAAATTTGGATCAGATCTTTAGAAATGCGGTCCTACCCGCATGAAACAATTTTCTTAAATAAAAACCAAGGAAATTAAGCTGAATATCAATTGTTAGGGATATTCAATTTAAAAAGAGAATTTTTTTTAAAAAAATCTTGTTTTTGTATTTTTAACATCAATTAACTCACGGAAAATGTTTATATAAGGATGAGGCTATAAAGAATCGAATTAAGGTGCACTTCAAAAACTCATTATAAAAGGTTGTTTCGGTTGTTAAAAATCATCAAACTAAACATCTCGACCTACGTGAGAAAAACTGGATTTCTTATCTAAAAAATAGTGCATCATGTAATGCATTTTCTGGACCGTCAATTTTCAAGATTTTTAAGTGTTCATAGATCGGCTTGATCTGCATTATTTTTCAAGCTTTAAATTTTATAATTAGATGTAAAAATAAAATTTTAGGCCATCACAAAGATCTCTAGTATTGAGACGATGTTCTTTCGACACTATTTGAAAGTGCACCTTACTACTAACCACACCCTTAACATAGATATCTTTTTTAGATATATTTAAAAATATCCAAAATTTATAAACTTTATGTAAATGTTTTTTTTGTATGTGTTTGTCTTTAAATGCCTATTAGTTCACAAATTTGAGTTGTATTGAAATTGGTTTTTACAAAATTATTGTTTGGTACTAAGTGTATTGAATATATTCATTTCTTTAATTTAGTTCAATACTAAGAGTACCGAATAAATTTATTCTTGATAAATTAATATAATTATCCTTATTTTTAGCAATATTTAATAATTCCCTAAAAATTTTAAATTATAATGTCAATTTTTCTCAGCTTATTTTCCAAAATGCTCTTGACTTTGATACATGAGTACCAAACTAAGGTTGTAGCCTAATAATTGTGAAAATTTATGCTAGGTACTGGGAGTACGGAGCATTTTTGTGGCTTTAATTTCCTAAATATATTATTTGCTATACTCAATATTGGACAAAATTCTTCTAGAAGGAAAAAGTTTATATAAGGATGCTACCTTATAATGTAGAACTAAGGATGCCCCTAAAAAATCCATCGAAAAAGGTAGTTTTAATGTTGAAAAATCCTTTAATTGATCATCGAGATGTATGACTATGAAAAATAAAAAGATTTTAAATCTCAGAAATAGTGCAATTTACAACATATTATCTACACCGTCCATTTTCAAGATTTTCATATGTTTATAGATCTACTTGATTTTAACCATTTTTTAAATTTTAAATTTTATAATTAGATATAAAAATAGATTTTGAGATAATCCTAATAACATTTTACATCAAAATTATATACCATGATAAAATTTGAAGGGCACCGTACCTCTACACCTACTGAAGCGTCTGTATGCCAACTGCACCCTTAATAGAAACCACTTTGGTATTCTCAATGCCAAACATATTCTCTCTCTTTTTTTTTCTTTTTTTTTTTTCTTTTTTTACGTAAGCATATTAGGTACTTTCAATATGGAACATATCCTCTTTTATTTTTTTAACAAACTCTAATTCAATACTATTAGCACTAAATTATTGTTGTTCCCCCACCCAACTAAAAAGAAGAAGAAGAGAGAATATGCTTTGTCCAGTACTGATATGGTTTTTGAGAAAAAAGAAAAAATGTATTCAATAAAGAGTGTCTCAAAAAATATATTAAAGAGATTAAAGAAGAAAATATTTGGTACTCTTATTAGCGAAAGTTATTTTTTGCAATTGTCAAGCTGCCGCCTCAATTCAATAATTGAAGTACCAAAAACTTAATAGAATTTTGGGAAAAAAAGTAAGGAAAAAAAAAAAGGAACTTTCAAAATTTTTTGGATAGTTTTAAAATATCTCTAACATAAAGATATTTATGATAATATTGTTTTAATCTTTTACCTGTTATAGTCAATACTCTTACTAGGTTTGGGTACACAAAATATATTACAAGGAAATAAGATTTACCTATTTAGGTACACTTCATCAGTAAAAAAATAAATTACACAAGATTTTCCCAAAATACGTGATATCTATTAAGTAGGATGGCGGTGAAATCCATTAAGCGGTAATCTAACTACGTGCGTCTCTTGCCAAAATAATTCCTCTATCTACCGCTATTCTCCTTCTCTCCTATTCACATCAATTTTCCCGCCGCCATTATGTCTTTTCTGCGTACATCCATTTCTACTTTCTCTCTAAACTCCACTTATAAATGTATGCGCACATCCATTTCTACACTCTCCCACACAACCATTTTTACATCTTTTGTCCCCAATTTGGTTAGTGGTCTGAATCTAAATCTTTTTAAATAAATAAAAAAATATTTCTTTGATTATAATTATATTTTATAATGATTTTTTTATAAATTATATTAGATAAATTATAACGATTACTAAATGTTTTGAAGAAAAAAAAAAGGATTTTTTGGGATTAAGGTTTAGATCGAGACAAAAAAAGTGATAAATTATATTTTATTTAAATTATAATGATTACTCATTTGGAAAAAAAAGGATTTTTTGGGATTAGGGTTTAGATCGAGACAAAAAAAAGTGATAAATTATATTTTATTTAAATTATAATGATTACTCTTTAAAAAAAAAAAAGATTTTTTGGGATTAGGGTTTAGATACAGAAATGATAAACTACTTACAATATATTAACTGTATTTGTTTTTTCATATTGCCTCCTCCAATATCTTAATCTAATTTTTAAAATACTTTACTATTTCACAATAAATTTTTTTAAAAAATACATCACCATTTATTATTTAAATTACAAATTAAAGATATTTAAAGGTTGTGACTAAAATAGTTCACTCAATGTTTATGATCAATATTAATTCACATTATTAAGTTATTATTCTTTGAGACATGACAAGTATGGTATACTCATGCTATCTATACATATGCATTTCAATATTAAATAGGAATGTCTACAAAGAGACTATTTATCTTCTTTTGTAAATAGAGGTCACAATCATTCTCAAATATTAGATGTCAAATTATATGACCTGAAGTGAGTTATGAAGTGAATGTTTTTTTGAAAATTTGTATTTATTTAATGACACTAGTACAACCACTCATTTCCTTAGTATCACAGTATTGTCTTTCTCTTATGTTTGGTTCTCCGAAAGAACCAAACACTAATTTTGTTCTTTTTACTCTTAGTACCAAACTTTGTTGAAAGCACAAATATATCACATACTCTAGGTACCAGCAAATAATAATTTTTGGCAAAAGACCAATTTCAACATAGTTCGAAACAGAGAGTACTGAACTAATGGGCATTTTAGGGAAAGCAATTCATAGGAGAAAATGACATTTACATCATCATCATCATAGTCTTTTCTCAATTAATTAGAGTCAGATACACGAATCCTGGACCACCATTCTGCTTTATTGAGGTCCATACCCTCAGTGATGCTATAAGTCTCTATATCTTTTCTCACTACCAACTATGCCCTTTTGGGTCCCCCTTTTATCCATTTTTAGCCTTCTACTTGAACTTACTCGTACCTCCTAACAGGTGTTGTGCTGGGTCTGCGGCACACATGGGCAGCTCATCTATGTCTACTCTCTCTCAACTTATTGTCTATTAGTGCTATACCAAAATTTTTTTAAATGAATTTATTTCGAATTCTATTACTTTTTGTCTTGCTACTCATCCATCTTAACATCCTCATATTCGCTACGTTCATTCTATGGTATATTGTTTTTTGTCCGCCCAACATTCTGCTTCATAGAGCAAAGTTCGTCTCACATATGTGCTATAAAACATGCCTTCTGCTTCATTAGTATGCAGTGATCACATTGAATTCTGGTTGCAGATATCTACTTCGCCCACCTGGCTTTAATTATGTGTGCAACATCTTCCTCAAGCTCTCCATTTTATTGGAAGACCCTAGATATTAAAAGTATGGTCTTTTTGGTATTTCTTTGTCGTTAATCTTAAATACTTTCTCGTATCTATTCTTATTATTATTAAACTTACATTCTATATACTCTAGCTTAGTCCGGCTAGTTTTAAAACCTTTAGATTCTTGAGCTTCCCTCCAAAGTCCTGATTTACATTGACGTTGTTTTCTGGTCTCATCGATCAAAACTATGTCATATGTGAACAACATGCACCACAGTACCTTATCGTGTAGGTGTCTAGTTTAGTGCGACATCGTACATATCTCTCACCAAGTTAATGTAGTGCTTGGAGATTCATTTTTTTTTCCAACACCCACCAAATCCAATATCGAGGTACTCTATCATAAGCTTTATCTAGACTCATAAAGACCATGTGGAGGTCTTTTTCCTTCATCTTAAACTTCTCAATCAATACCCTTGGTTGGTGACCTACCTAGCACAAAACCAATTGGTTTTCAGATATACTTGTTTCATGCCATAGTCGTTGCTCGATCACTTTCTCCCAAAACTTCACAGTATGGCTCATAAGCTTGATACCTCGATAGTTTGCATAGTTATGTATGTCTCATTTGTTCTTGTAAATAAGTATCACAATACTTTGCTTCCAATTGTCTGGTATTTTCTTTGTTCTCAGCACCTTGTTGAACAGATTCGTCAACCATTTTTTAAAAGGGACACAATGACATCTAC